TCCCTACATCCTGCAAAAGATCAGAAGCATCATTCTTAGTCCTTGATCTCAAATTCAGACATGTTTACTTCACATCTATCTTATCCTTTCTCTATAATAAGTAGATGATATTCACATAATGGTGTCCTAAACTGTTCTTTATTTAACCAAGTCTCTTGGTCCAGATAGGTTTTTTGTATTTGTTTGAAGAGATATAATTTTTTTCAAGAGGAGTGTCGACTTAGTGTCTAGTGTCGATTCTTGTAGTGTTAAAATAATGTTTAATCAGTAGAAATCATATCCTATGAGTACAAATTAGTTTTTGGTTGTCAACTTTGAAATATTGCATGAACTATGTCCATAGATAAAAGATAAAGTTTCTTTATTTGGTTTTAAGGGAAAAGAATATAATAATATAATAGCCTTGTACTATTTCACAATGCTGCATAAATGACATAACTTCGTAGATTGCAAAAGCTTACCCGGTTGTATTGGATCTTGCATGTATCCAAAGAAGTTTGTGAAAGTTCAGGATATCTTTGCTTCAGGCAAAACAATAAGGACTCAGCTCTCTCAGCTAATGTGTAGTTTTTGTCCTTATAGTCTGTGTCGTCCATGAGATCCTTTACTTTGCTCCATGATGACTTCGAATGGCTCAGACAAGCTTTGCGTCTCCACGTGTACATTGATGATTCAACCCTGTCTGCTAGCTCAAGTGCTTCATGTTCAGAACTTATTTTGAGACAGTCAAGAAGTTGTTCAGGTGAGAACTTGTCTGCATTGTACATGTAGTGGTAAATTGAGTCCCCTAGACTTGATCTTCCACTCTGAAGAAATTAATGTTCGAAAAGAGTAAGATTAGAGTTTAGTCATTTTGATAAAAATGATGTGAATGCATGTACTATAGTAACATGAAATCAATTCTTCTCCTGCATTAACTTAACCAGTCATTGAATTTTTATGATTAAAGGGAATAGGCATAAGATTAATAGATCTAATCGGATTTGATCGCTATTGGTACCTTAAATGAAACTATATCATCCCGTTTCCTACAAGTCTCAGCTGCTATTATTGGCTTCCATAAAAGGCTTATGAAATTTGATGAAAAATTCCAAGACATTTGCTTTATGGGGTCACATTTAATTGAATCCTCAATCACTTGGCAATAGAATTTCAGCTGGCAAAAAAAATGCAGACTTGTTAGAGATGTACTTAGTGGAGATTCTACTTGATTGGAGATTAGTTACTATCTGGTTAATTAGTTACTACTTGGTTAATGCCTATAAACTTGATGTAATTACCTTTACTCATTCAAATTCAATCAAATAGCAATTTTATTTTTCTCTTATCACTCTTCTCAACCATGTTTCATAACTAGACTAATTTTGAGATTTCAGCAGAAAGTTTCAAATTGACTTTCAGAAACAGAAACTATTTCTTTAACAATAGGGATTACCAATGAGGACTAACCTTGGGAAGATTATCTATATATGTTTCTGGTATATCTAGTTCTGCAAGAACATTGCTGTTTATTGCCATTGCTGCTTTATGAATTTGATTAGCACAATCCCTTTTCTCAATCAGGTGCTTTCTTGACTTGTCAGAGAGACCACCAGGAAGAACACAAGGAACTGGCAGCCACCACTTCTCATCTTTCCTTGGAACAACTTTTCGAAAAGAGGTTCCACCACGTAAACGACTTGAATTCCCTGGTATGTTCTCTGCATACCAAAATTCAGTATCCTGGAAAGTGTCCAATATTTCCTGCAAACAATATTGTGTTTGTGATTTAAGTCAAAAAGTTTTGATGAAAATTGAAAACTGAGATGTTACATAGAAGCAATTGAGGTTTGTCTTACTATGAGCATTGTGTCAAGCTTCTGGAGAGCAGGGAGGTTGATATAGATGTCTGACCTTGGCCTGCTTTTCATCATCTGAAAGAGAACATCAGATCATGTCACATACATTTGGAGATGCCACACAAGTTCCATTGAAATTATAATTATCATTAGAAATGGTCACCTCCACAATTGTGCCATCTTCTAAATATTGTGCTGTTGGAGCAAATTCTTGGATGTAATCACACACTGATAGAAGAACCTTCATTTCCCTTTTCCACATAGCCTTCTTCTCTGGCTTTAGTGGCTCCAACTTTAAACTTTGTCCAAATACAGTTGCTGCAGAATTTCCACATCAATCATATTCAAGGACAATAAATTTAACCATCAAATGTGAGAAATGCTACCACCTTACATTTTACAAAACATTCTTTTCAACACTATTAAAAGTTGAATTTTATTGGAACTCTTGAAATGATATGTCTCATTTCTTATTTAATGAGTCTGCGTTCATAATTGTGTGGACATTGAACACCAATAAAGTTTAGGCAATAGTAAAGTGTGTGTTTGATAATGTATAGGTAGCACATCAGATATAAAAAACTTTTTTATGAGGCTATACTATTGAGTATTGACACTGTTAAAAAATTACCATAGAGATTGGTAATGGCATTTGAGATTGTAACAGCAGTGCAAACACCTTTCCCACTACCAGACATGTCTTCGCCCAGCAGAAGCTTTGCAAATCTTTCCTTCATCATTTCAAGCTCGGCTAATGTGTATGAAAAAAAAAAAAACTCAATCACTATTGAAATTTGTACTCTTTCAAAGTGTCCTAAAACTTACTTTCTTAATCCTAAAATAACTGCAGTTTAAGATTTTTACATACAGATTAAGCATAACCAAAAAATATATACTACTTTTTATACAATTTTACTAAATTAACCTCACTCTCTCAACAAATGATCTTTTTTTTAATTGTAGTGGTTGAAGAATTTATAAGAGGGTAACAAATAACCATAATCTAGAAATTTTAAGATATTTTTTTAAATGTTAAAACTGCAGTAACTTTGGGAGGAAGGGAGTAACAAATAACCACACAAGCTATGCAAAGTGCAAACCAACCTGAATCCTCACAGGCATCAAGTTTATCATCCATTGAATGCTTGCGAAGCTTCATTCCTAGCTTTGAAAGAACATCTTGTTTAGCCCTCCACCGAGATGGTGAAGGTTCACTGGCATAGCTGCTCTCATCTATAGTCTCAGATTCTGAGCTTGTCCAAGTTTGGCAGCACGCAAAAGAATCACCACTCATTGTGGAAAAAGCAGGAGTATTGGAAGGTGAAGGGTGATAGCCCCCCACATCAGAGTTTTCATCAAAGTTTGATGATTTATCCATCTTAGCTCAAGAATATGTGATTAACTTCTCAAAACCTGCACATAAACATGAGGGTCAAGTCACAAGTTGAGCTTGTGGCCTCTAAATACCATTACTTCATTATCACTTTGAGACATACTATATATAAAAGATTTAAAAGCATGTCATAGAATGATAGAATAGAACTCAGCTTAAAACACACAATTCACATTGAAATCAAACTATAGATATAGAAAACAAAAAGGAAACAAAAAAAAAAAGGTAAGATCAAAAGAAAAAGCAGAAAAATTTGAATGCTATTGTCTTGTCCTCCTTCTGTTGAGACCCAAAATGGTTCACTGAAGAACGCAGCAAAGGGCTGTGAGAAGGGAACAAAAAATTAAAAGGAAAAGCAATGTTGGACAACTTTCCGAGGATAAAACTAACTGAAATTTAAAACTTCAAAGATAACGGTTGGCATAAAAAGGAAGGGTCCACGGAATTCTTTTCTGGTGTTAGCTTTTAATGTGTTGGATTTGAATTTGAAGTTTGAACTATGAATAGTTAACAAGGTTTGAAACAGTTCCCTCCTAAGCGTTTGTACCTTTTTCTTCTTCCCTCAACACTTTTCCATGCAAAAGGCAACATTAATTATTGGCCTCCTTCTACTGTAATGATAAATTAATCATTGAATTGTACAACTAAAAAGGAATAATCAAGTTACAGAAATTGCTCACTTCTTGGGTAGATTCAGAGGATAAATGCAAGGCCTGTACCAGTTGAAAATTAAGCTAAGATGAGAATCTTCAGACTATATATATATATATATAGTTGAAAAAAATGTTAATTAAATACAAGACTTTTGCTTCAGAGGATAGTGTGCAAATTAAATTATAATTTTTTTTTATTAATTGTATTTGAATAATCTTAGATTGTAAAAAAGAAATAATATAAAATTATGCAAATCGGCGCAAAATATTAGAAAATGGAAAGTCGTTTGCATATACTTTTGTATGGTTGAATTTTAAATAAACTTGGATGAAAGCAAGAAAGAAATAATATAAAATTATAGAAATGGAAAAATATTAGAGAATGGAAAGTCTCGGTTGCTTATACTTTTGTTTTGAATTTGAAAATACTAGAAAAAAGGAATGTCGTTTGCATGCATCTGATCACGAAGGAAGCCTCCGGCCAAAGGACAAAACCACAACTTTAGTCCAAAATTATTGAGTATTTATTATGATTTTTTTTTCAGTTTCTTTATTATGATTTTTAATAATACACTAAGTAAGTTTATGAAATTACTTGATTGAATTTCTGAAATTACAAAATATCATTAGATTTTCTAATTATTTAAGGATAGTTTATTTTGATAACATGGTGAGAAAAACGATAAATTTTTTATTCATTGACATTATTAAATTATAGTCATTTCAGTTCTTAAAATTATAAAATAAATATTAAAATGAATAACTTTTGATAATTTCATAAATTAGTTTGTTATATTTCGCAATTAATGTTCCGTAATTTCGAAAACTAATTTGTTATATTTCTCATTTTTTTTGACATTTCCTAGCTAGATTGATGAAAAATATAAAAATTTAAGAAAAAAAAATGTTAGGTAAGTTGGACATTTCTATATGAAACAACACCCTCATTCATGTATGTGGCATGTGGCAAAATCACATTATGTGTATAAAAAAAATATGATAAGCGAAATTTAACTAATGATTGTAAATTTACAATTTTATTTTTTATATATCCATTAATATATATATATAAAATCTTGTTTGGACATTTGTTTAGAATTCCAGAAATAGTTTGATGAATTATGGTTAAGACACAGTTACATGTGAACAGCAGGATCACCAAGAACAAGTTTCTGCATTTACATGAAATTCAAGCTGTCTACATCATAATAATTCCAGTACCTTCTGAAATTTATATAATATGTTCATTATTACCACATAAAATCCCTTCTAGCTGTCTACATCTAATAATATTTAAGATAAAGACTCCTAATCAAGCTTATTATGACTAAGATTTAGAAATAATTAAGATCCTGTTGTTGCCACTTGGCTTTTCTTGATGAAAATTTAGTATAACTCATGGGTAGCTAGTCTGTTTGGATCAGGATTAGTTAGAAATTAAGCCACACATGTGAGTAATATTAAAATTGATGAAAAAAACATTAATTTTGTCGAAATGCATGTTTATATTAGCGTTTTATTTTTGGAGTGAGCTGAATTGATTATGACTAGTTATTTGATCATAATTAATGCTAGCTAATCATATGCTATTTTTATAGAGAAAATGAAAAATAATTCTATTGAAGGTACTAAGACGTGCACCCCATTTCCCACAAATTAAGAGTTCAGAACAATCTTAAATTAATTCTTGATATGCATTTCAAGGTTGCATTTATATATTATCTATGCCGTTGTTGGCAAAAACTGTTCGGATGATCACTACAAGAAATGTTACATATAGCGACATACAAAAAGTGTCACTATAGATACAATATATGTAGGTATATGTTTATTTGACATATAGTTATGCACAATTTTAGTGTTGATTTTAGATGAGATTTAACAACATATTTTGTGTGTCACTATAGTCTATACCCACACTTTTTTAATAATATACCAACATATATTGTAGTTATTGTGTGGGTAAAGTAATTTTTAGTGACATGTATAGTGTCACTATAGGGTGTGTGTCACTATATGACAATTTTGTTATAGTGGGTGAACACTAGAAGCTCCAGGAAGATCATTTCCGGTGTGATAGCAATTATGATTGATGGTGATACATATGATAATCACTAACACCTAAGTCAATATTTTGTAAGAGATATGTAAAAATAAGCATTAGATAGATTACCTACTTTTGTAGACATGAAATGGTTTATATAACAATAGATTAAACAAGTGTTTGTAAAAAAAAAATAGTTTAAACATTTATTATGGGCCACACAAGTCCAAAAAATTTTATATCATTAAATCTTGACTGATTAGATAACAATTTTTATACATTATGGATTTAATTAGTTAATTTTATTTTCATGATTTAAGTCTGTTTTTTTTTTTTTTTTTTTTTTTTTTTTTTTTTTTTTACAATCTTTTTAATTTATGACTTTTATAACTTCATCCTATTACGGGCCAAGAAAGCTTCTCGAGCATGCAAAATTTTCTCATGCATTTTTTTCACACATTTTTTCTATTAATTTTATGATTTTCTTGTGAATTTTGTCTACACTTTATGTTTCTTCTTCAAATTTTGCCACGGTTTTTGTAAAACTCTGATTATTTCTTATTGAAAGCTTTATAAGAATTTTTGATTTTTTTTACTACTTATTCTCATATAAATTTTCAATTTATAATAAACTTAATTTTTCTGGTAAATTTTCCCCCTCCAAGCGTTTTTGTGCGTGAAGCTCCACCACTAATCACAATGGATGAAGAACAATGCACTACAAGTAGTGTTGATGGACTTGACTCTCTTGGAACCCGAATATGGTGAATCCCTAAGCGCGATAAAAACTTGCGTTGTGAATAATGGTAAATGATTAGGGATGACACCGAGACACGTCGGGTATGAGTTTTATGATACCTGTCCCCATCTTCAATTAAATTAGGAATGAGTATTAAAACGGGGATGGGGACGGGTACGGGTACGGGGTGAGTAAGTATATACCCATACCCAGTTTAATATATCGGGTTTTACCTGTATCCGTACTCGTACCTGATCAAATCGGGTATTCTCCATTACAGTCAGCAGGGACTAGGAATGGCAATGGGGCCCCATGGGGGCGGGTAATAGTAAACCCGCCCCCGCCCCGCTAGATGAAAATTAGCCTCATACCCACCCCATATCTGTGCGGGTATCCATTAAGCGGGTATCCATAAATTTCTTGAATACCCACGGATATCTATGGATATCCATGAGTATTTATAAATTTTTTAAAAAATTAAAAAAATTATATTACAAATAATTTTAAGTATATTTAATGTCATTGAAATATTAAAAATGAAAATTCAATGTTAATTTTAAACTTGTATTTAACGTTAATTTTGTTAAAATAATAATAAAAATATAAGATAATTAATAACTTAAAATACATCAATCTCACAAATAAGATAAAGTCTCATCACAAAGCTACAATAATTCAATCTCATAATTCCAAACGAAAGTAAACAACTTAAAATACATAAATTTTATTGGTCTAATCAAAGCTAGAAAATTAATCAAATTACATCCAACATAATTCTATAACATGCTTAACACATGTTGGTAACTTTATCAACCTCACTTTTGTAAAAAAATAATAAGATGAGAGAATGTAGTTTTAGAGTTATGTGGTACAAGGATAATTAGGATATTTAAGAAATATTATTAAATGGGTACCCGCGGGTATAGATATCATCATATCCGCCCTCACCCCGTTTATAAACGGGTAAAAAATTATCCGTCTCCATTATCCACGAGTACCCAATTAGCCTATCCATTTATTATCCGTAACGAATTTTACCACAGATACTCGCGGGTGTGGGTATTTTTGCCATCCTTAGCAGGGACGGATCTACATAGGAGATAGTGGGGGCACTTGCCCCCACTACCATTTTATGCATATACATTTTTTTTATCCAAAAAATAATATATTTTAAAAAATAAAATTTATAATAATATTTTTTAAATTTTTGAAAGAGATTAGTTCTCATATGTGATAAAGAATACCCATTAATAATGAATTAGTTTTTTAAAAAAAGTTTAATTATAATATATATATATATATATATATTAATGTTCACTTATATAAAGTAATATGTTAAAAAAATTAATTTTTGATAAAATAAAATTTGCACTATGCATGTTTACCTTTTATACTTTCTATTTATTGTATACGTTGATTAAAAATATTAAAATAGTAAAGATTGTAAGATTGTATATGTTGATTAAAAAAATCAAAATAGGAAAGGTTGGAAGATTTATATTCTATTTTGAATTTGTATTATAAAATATATTTTAAAATAAATTATCATCTAAAAATTTATATCAGATATTAAAAACATTTTATATCATAAATAAATTAAACTTGTTTCTTTTTAATAAAATTTAACATATTTATTTTTATGGTTTTATTAGTGTTAAATTATTATCAAGTAGGTCTTTAAGATTGTAATTCTAACCAAACATTTAAAAAATATCTATGACAGATAAATAAGTCATATTAAAGACATGTAATTTTAAAGAAAGTTAGGTTCAAATCTATTAAATTATAATATAATCTAGTCTTACCCGATTTATTTCCATCCTTAATCATAATTGTAGATATAAAAAATTGTAAAAATAATTATGATATATATTTATACTTTTAAAAGTTATATGTAAAATTTTTAATATTACAAATATATGAGTAAGTATTACCCCCACT